AATTCTTTCCTGTTTTCTGCTCCCAAAACAACTTTCCAATCATCATGTTTCTAGAAGGTGTTTCTCTAGAGTAGAAATAAACCTAGAATCTCCTCTATCAATCGTCAATTTATATTCTGATATAAAGCAATGTTTCCTGAAAGCTGAGTTTTCCCTAGACATTCTGGATTTGTAGATAGGAGACCAAATTTATTTTTGAAGCTGGACATAAAAGTGACTTGGAATTGCAGGCTAGGGTAGGGGTAGATCCCTTTCCTAATTTAAGTTTCCATCTGAAGGATGGTCCAGGTACTTGTTCCACATTATCCAAAAAAAAAGTCTCCAGGTGACAGGATCTTTCTTGGGAAAAGCAAAAGTTAAGGAAATAAAGTCGGGGTTTGGTTTGTTGTTTTTGTGAGTTCTGTTTGTTTGCTGGTTTGTGTTTTTCCAGGAGTTCATTGGCCCTAGGCAGCCCAGCTTTCATTTAAGGAAAGGTTCGTGGGCGTCTTGCGGCCTCTGCTCCACTTGCCTCTGCACTATGTCTATGACTTGCAAAAACAACCTTGTGGGATACTAATTCAGTCTTTGGTTTCTTTTTCATATCAAATACTGCCAACTTGGCCTTAAATGTGTGCCAGATGCACGATGGTTTTATGATGTGATACCGTTAGGAAGTCTGGGTTGAGTATAGCTGGATGTGAGCCGGCTTCTACAGTTGGAGCCCTTTCTGTCACTGATGGCCACAGCACAAGCTTGGGAGCTTGACAGCTTTGCTGGGCACCTTGGCGAATAGTGCCTGGCAGTGGACAATCATCAAATCCCAGTGAGAACTACAGGTTCCCTGGTTTGTTCTCTCCTGTGTAAATGGCTGGGTTCCGACGTCCTATGAGGGCTTGCAGTGTACTGGCTAGAAGAGGAACGCAAAAGCCATCCTCCAGCACAGTGTCACAAATAGCCCAAGTGAMCACCTCCAGATACCCACAGCTAGAGCACTCCTGCCCTTCCCGTTAAGAGCATCATCCTCCCTGGTGGGTTCAGAAATTCAAACATATTTAACTTTGAGTTGGAAATCAAGACAAAAAAAGAGGAAAAATCTCCTGTCCTTTAAAAGGAGGAAGTTCAAGGAGTAAAAGAGAGTATTTGAACTGAAATGAACTTTTGTGSAGACTGAAATATAGGGACAAATTTCTCAGTTCTCTATATACATTTTATTATAGACATAATTTAAACACTTTATGTGCATATTATTGTTTTAGATATTGTGCCTTCTCTTTATATTGCTTGCAATCAATTAAAATCATGGTTACAATTTGGCACTTTGTTTTTAATTTTGACCAAATCCAATCTCTCTGCTGCCTAACTGTGATCATAGATTTACTACTAAGTGATGTTAAGAAAAAAAATTATATACTTAGAAATCAATGTTAGAAATTAAAAATTATATACTTAGAAATCAATCAACTTGAATCAATGTTATGAATCGAAGCAATTCCAAATGTTGTTAAATCTTGAAAAGTCAAAGATAACCTGTGTGCAGATTCTATCAGTGATGGGGCACACTTGAATATTTTATTTCTGAAGATTGTTGCTTGTTCTGCAAATGATGGATGAAGTAGGTTATACCAGAATCTTTGATAATACTGATAATATCAAATACAGATGAAAGAAAATCATAGAAGATGTTGGTAATGTGTCTTGGACATTATTTCTGTAATAAGGTGTTTATAAAATGCAGAGCAATTATAGAGATTTTTACATTGAATCAYGAGTCATTGTAAAAATCTCTGATTTTTACATGTATCAGAGACCAATTTGTTTTCAGGATTTGGCAGGCAGTGACTCCCATTTCTTGTAAAGGTCAAAACCTCTTACTAACAGTCTTTCTTGAACAGTTCTATGGCTCCAGAAAGATTTATAACCTTTATTGCACAGAATTATATTTAGTAAGAGGGGGAAAAAAGGAGCAAGTACTTGTAAAATTGGAGCATAGATAAAGAAGATAATGCATTACCTTCCTTTACCTCTTTGTATATTTGGACACCTCCTAGGGAAGTGTTGTCCAATACAACCTTCCTCACGGATGGAAATGTTCTATATCACATTAAATGGAAACCACAGATCACATGTTGCTATTTGAATACTTAAAATATGGCTAATGGGGCTAAATAACTGCATTTAAAATTTTATTGAATAGATGTTTAGATTTTCCAGAAATAACTTGGGCAAGATTTCCTAGGACTGTACTTCCTCCTAGTGAATTTAGAGAAAAGTCATTGATTATATAAAAAAAAGTTTCAATTTCTCTCTCTCTCTCTCTCTCTCTCTCTCTCTCTCTCTCTCTTTCTCTCTCTCTTACTGGGGATTGAACCCAGGGGCATTTTACAACTGACCTACATCCCTAATCCTTTGTATTTTTATTTATTTATTTTTTATTTACTTTGAGACAGGGTCTTACTAAGTTGCTTATGGCCCCACTGAGTTGCTGAGGTTGGCTTGGAACTTGGGATCATCTTACCTCAGTCTGTTGAGTCTCTGGGATTTTAGATGTGGGCCACTGTATCTGGTCTCCAAAACCACTTTCTAAAGTACTCAAACAAAAGAGCCCAATTAATAAACAAGTCTATCACTTAGATACTTGAGGAATTTCTTTTTCTCTAAAATGTATTTATGTTCATCTGGTGTGGCCTTAAGTCAGGTTGGATGTAAATAGGGAAATCTCTCATATTTATCTCAAACTATCTCATTTACAAATCTTACGTGACAATGCTTTCCAGGGAAGCATGTTTCTTTGTATGATTTAGTGCTTGGTAATTGTCTTCTTTCAAGTCATGCAGGAGTAGGAAGGCTGGATGCATGAATGTATTCTCAAAAAATATTCTGCAATTGCTTTTGCTTTGCTGCTCTGGGATGAGGAAAGTTTTAAGTTCTGTGTGAACCAAGATGATTGATAGTATCTCAAACAGTGTATCACCCAAAGTAAGTTTTCTATTTCTGAATGAGTGGTTTTGTAACGCACATAAACTAAAAGCCACCAAGGTGTAAGGTCTTCATAAACATAATATAGTAAAAGGGGACATTAACACATAGCAATTAAGAAGCATCAAACATCTGAGAACAAGGGTACACCCAATAAATACAGTTTGAATTCTTAGGTACTGACTTTCTTTCTATAGARTGTGGAGTGGGAAGTGGGAAACAGAAATTTGAAATCCATAGGGATAATTTCAAGATGGTGTCATGGGCCTTGCCATGATGTCATAACTAAGGGGAGCCTCAGAGGGCTTTAGGTAGAAGGTTTTCAAGTCTGATTTGAAGTTCAGACAAATTATACTAGAATTTAAGTGGATGATGAATTTGTGAAAGGGAGATCAGTCAAGGGGCTTCTGTGTTCAGTGACCATGAGAGATGTTGAAGACCTTGTTAACAGTGACAAAGCTGGGTTAATGAAACTGGGTTCTGGTGACAGAAAGCAGGGAAYGGCTGGAAACTATTTGTGGATCAGTCAGCAGGACTTGGACTTGTGGGAAATAAAGGGAGTAAAGGGGAAGGATACAAAATAGGATTCACTGTCSTCAATTCAGTGACTGGGCAAATATTGATGGTGATAACTGCAGCTGTGAACTCTGGGGGATAAACACCACGACAGAGGGGAAGAAAATGAACTTGACATATCCTGGGACCTCAGAAAAGTAGCCAGAAGGCATTAGRATTAGAGGTGACATCTGGCAGGGAAAGAGAAATTTAAATATATCAGGTCTGTGGCAAGTCACCCTAGGGTGGGCAGTGATGCCCTAGGATCATCCGCATGGGGAAAAAATCAAAGAAAAAGGATGCAGAGAAGGAAGGAGAAGAGAGTAGAGAGAATGGAAAGGAAAGAGGTAGTTTCCAGAAGGTCACATGGTAAACACAGAAGACGGTAAGGACTGAAACTCTCCTGCAGGCATTATGCGGAAGATGATGGACACCTTGCCTTCTGTGACTACTTCTCTTTCTCCTCAATTCTTCTGCATATCCTACACCCATGCATGTTCTGTACCCTTGCATATTCTCCTTCTCATCCTTCAAAACCCAATTTAATAGGCATTGCACCCCACAGGCAATCAATTCCTCAATGTCCCCCAGTCAAGCCATGTAGGTGCTTCTCCGTTTGATCCTATTGCTCTACATTCAACCTCTGTCACTTGCACAGGTTGTACCTACATGCCTCTCTGTCCTGCAATTTCTTCAAGATCATTTTGGTAGACTGATTTGCACTAAGGATTTAATTTTTTTTCCATGTCTCTCTCTATCCATTCCTTTCAGCAATGTCCTTTTGGACTTGGGCTTGACTATGTGTGAAGTTTGGCCAATGGAATGGTAGCAAACTTGATTTCAGCAGAAGCTTCAAAGTGCTGGTACATTTTAACTTTTTAAAGACTCCTGCCACCATCAGCAGACGTGTCTGGGCTAATCTGCTGGAGGAAGAGAGGTTACCTGGCACAGAACCAGATCATCCTAATAAAGCCATCCCAGACTCGTCAGCCCCTAGCTTACTCAATAGCTGAATTCACATGCATTAAGTTTGGGTCTGGTTTGTTACACCAACAACTGATGCAATTACATATCATGTCTTCAACATTTTTTTTTTCCTTTTAGCTCCTGCACATTAAGCCAGTGCTTATCATACAATAAAAGTTCCACAAATGTATCTTAAATGAAAAAGACAAGATAGAATGAATATTGCAAAGCATTTCTCTCTCTCTTCTCCACCAAACATCATGAATATGCCCAAGTTTCCCATGGACTCTTAACCCCTGCTGTTCCAGGAGCCGAGATTGCAGGGGTGGTTGTGGGAATTCCAGCATGCGCAGTGTGGTCTGAAATCCAGYGACAAGGCAGCGTGGCTTCCTTCTTGGCCTGCTGCCCCACGCGTGGTGAGCAGAGCAGCCTCGCCAAAGTGGCAGCCGCAGTGTGGGAGCCCAGCTCTGCTGCCATAAATTACCCAGGGGCAGGAAGGAGCAGCGAGAGTCAGCGGTTTCAACTACCTAGTAGTTCGTTTTTGTTCTTGTTTTTCAGTTAGCAATCTGTAAAATTTATTGCAAAATTAAGCTCTCTGCTCCAGAGTCAATAATATTCCTGGTGCCAGGTGGTGTAATAATTCACAGAAAGGGCAGAAGTTGGAGGGAATGAGACTGATTTAGGAAGTAGACTTCCAAGGCCTATTTGCTGCTGCTTATTCCCTGCTGCTAAAGGTCAGGTAAGTAGAGGGCTAAGGTTACAGCCTCATAATATCCTTGGAGGGCTAGAATTTCTATTGGGTTTGAAATTTAAAACAAAAACTGTTTCTTTTGCGTGATGGATTCCTTGTATCCTTCCCACCTCTGTTTCCATTTTAGCATAAAAATAGAAACATTCAATTTCATATTTTGTTTCTGGCAGTACAAGGAAGAGGYCTTTTAGAAAACTTGGCCTTAGGTAAACCTCCTATAGTGCTTTCTAATGCCCTAACATCAGTCTCTTTGATTTGGAGGGGCCATTCAAGATCCCTCTAACAACTTCTTCATTGACAGATGCAAACACCAAGTCTCAGTGTGGTTGAATTAAAGAGTGTTTAGGTCCTGCCTAGATATTTATCTGAGTCTAAAACCTGAATCTGAATCCTRGGTCATACGACAACTTCTTTACTTGTCATTTTGCTTACTAAATGGACTTCAGTTTATCACTTTGATCTTTCTCAATTATGTGTGGCTCTTTAAAAATGTTTCTGTCTCTTCCAATTATTTCTTAAAGAGTCTTAGATGTCTGATTGTCTAAAAGGGCCATACATAAAGCTATATTTCTGCTCCAGCTGTAAGGGGCAAGGCATTACCAACAATTTTCTTTCTAAAATTATCTTTGCAAATTATGTCCCTGAAGTGTGAATTTTTTTTTTGGGGGGGGTTACTAGGGGAATCTGATGTTTTTGATGATTAAAATGCTGTATTTAGTTATTCCCCATGGTTGCTTGAATTGCCTACAAAATCATCATTGCAAACTGAGTTGCAAGCTCGATATTTCTTGGTGGACATTTAGCAGTGAGACTTACACTTTCCAGGTTAAATGTGGTTAGATATCATGTTCAGCATCACCATGTGCTCTTTTAGATGGGATTTCTTTCTTTTCTTTATTTCTAAAAATAATTCTTAATTTTTATTGGTGTTGAAGTTTTGGCCACCAGGTTGGGACTGGCTATAAAACTCAGGTTAGAAGAAATTGCTTTGATGTTTTCAAAGTCAAGAAAGAATTTTACACCTCTCTGAGGAGCCCTTGACTGCAGGTGAAGAATGTACCTCCGGAGAAGTACCAATTAGGGCTAATTGTTCATGATCTCATTGATCCATCAGAGCTCTGAGTTTCTAATTGAATTTGATATTGTCTTCCTAAAATGAAATTTTGTTGAGTTGCAAATTGTGGAGAAGCTGGATGTTTTTGTATCTGATCTCACAAGAACAGAATCAATATGATCACCCTTTCAAAGGGGGTTGTGAAAATCCACTCATCATTGGTGACAGAATTCCTCTTCCATTACCCTTRTAAATCATAAGTGGCTCAGAGGTGCTGGTTCCCTGACACCTGGGAGGGAATGTCAGTCCCACCTCTCAAGAGCTGATGCTTTTTCACAGCTATTTGCTTTGGGGGTGGGATGGGAGGAGCCTAGATACCAAAACTTTGGGTAGCTTTGTAATATGACCTAAGACACTGGGTAAGAGGAACTTGGCATTAGGCTTCACCAAGACCTTGAAACTTGGCCCAAAGTGATTAAAAATCAAGTTTGTGAGTCTTGTCAAGTGTAYTAATTGTGCTTAAATTGTGGATAGACACTGAAAAAAAATGACATTCTAGAWAGTCTCATCTTGTGTGAATTTTATATCAAAGCTAATTAAACACTTGTTCCATCTCAAGCTTTGTGTCAAAACTCAAGTGAATGAAGAATTGAAGAACTAAACAAGTAGGCATAGCTGTTATCAATAAAATGGATACAAACTGCAGTGACATTTATTCTGATCTAGTAAAAATCAAATGCCTGAACTGAGCATTCTCTTTTTGATTCTTTTCACTAGGATGTTCAAAATATAACTGAAAGATTGTTTTCATAAATTGGATATGATACTGACTGCAGATCTCAATCCATCTCGAAATAGGAATTGCCTACACTCAAACTTGTATTCTGCCCTCCGTTTTTATATGTCTGTAGTGAGCACTATAATCTTCCATCAGAAGCGAAATTAAATGTCAGGCTATCACACCCTTATCCAAATGTTATTTAAAATTTCAAACTCAATCATCTTTCTTACCTTATACACAAAGACTCACTTTATTCTTCTATGTACCAAGTACCCTAGATGTTTAGTTTCAAGGTGGCCATCTTCTATCATCAAAAGCAGAAAGAAAATGGCAGCATTTCTTCAAATAGCCCTGGGAGTATACATAGTGCCAAGTTTTGTGCAATTAATTGTACGTGGGACAGATGTACAGGCAGAATATAAGRTGGGGGAAATGTACCTTGAAAATAGACTGCCTGAGCTCAAATTCCTGCTCTCCCACTTATGAGCTTATATAACCTCAGGCAAGTTATTTCAACTGTTGGAGCTCAGTTGGCTCATCTATAAAGTGGGATAATAATTTCACTCATCCCAAGGGAAGTGGGTGAAACAAATCAATGTATATAAARTGTTAACAGTAGTACCATGGTAATATTACCCTTCTATACAACAGACATGTGCTTTCCCATAATTCCATTGATGTCCTAAGAATCCCATATTTGTGAGTCAAGTGGTCTGTCAGGAAGTCGTCTATCATTTATGCAGGATTCATCTAATTAAAATGCTCCAAGGTGAAGTTGTCTAGCAGTCACATGCCACCCTCCCCTTGAAATCAAGAACCGGTTACTTGTAGTTTCAGACGTCTTCTACTTGTAAGGAACATATCAGGAAGCCTCCACCTCATACTTTTTTTTTTTTGTTTATTGTTTTGTTTTTGCTTTTGCTGAGAGATAATAAATACTTTTTTATTATCATCACAAAGGGAAAGGATGGAACAGGTTTAGTTAGGGAATAAGTAGAAATCAAATAATTTTAGCTGACTCTTCTTCAACATCTGCTCACCCTTCACACACCCCTTAARAGAGCCAAGTGCTACTTATCTAGTATTAGAGTTTGGATATGGTATGTCCCACAAAGGTTCATGTGTTAAAGGTTTGTCTCCAGCTGGTGGTTCTTTGGGAGGAGGGGCTTAGTTGCAGAAGTAGGTCACTGGGGGCCTGTCCTTGACTGTATGTCTTGTCCTTGAACCCTTTCCCTCTTTGCTCCTCTGCTGCCATGAGGTGTACAGCTTTCCTCTATCTCTGCCTCCTTCTGCTATTATGCATTGCCTTGCCAAGGGCCTAAAGAAACTGGGCCAAGCGACCATGGACTGAAACCTCTGAAACCACGAGCCACAAGAAGCTCTTCTCCTTGAAAATGTTCTCTGTCTCTCTCTCTCTCTCTCTCTCTCTCTCTCTCTCTCTCTCTTTTTAATACAGTGATGAAGAGTTGACTAACACATCTGGACTGTTTCTTATTAGGGATAGATTTTATAGATTCTCTTGAAAGCTCATCTGAAATCCCATGGTCCTCAAGAGTAAGGTTTCTTGGTTTGGGGATTTGTTTCAGGCTGTATTATAAATCAGTACAGGTACAGTTTTCTTTGGCTCTATTTATGATTCTCATACAGACTGACTGATTCCTTAACTTGATRTTTAAAGAAAATTAAAAGGAGAGGGAAGGGAATAAAAGTAATGGAGAGTGAAGGGGAGGGACAGAAAGAAAAAATTAGATCAGAAAAGAAAAAGAAAGGAAAGAGAAGGACAGGGAATCCCTTCTAYTCCTCCAGGCTCTACTCCCCAAGACAGATGAACTTTAATGAAGATGCATCTGTCCATCTATAGATCAGATAAATTCCCAGTTTTCTGTGTGGTGTGATTGTTATTCTTTCTCATAAGGAGGAGAAATGATTTCTTAGTTCCCCCTTTTTTTCTTTTGAGGTGTGAACTTTTACATTTTGACCTAAAGCATTTTTTTTTTCCTTCTATGGTTCATGGCTTGATTCTGTGTCTTCATTTTGGAGTCTGTTCTCCATAATTCAAATATAATTGTTTTTGTTTTTATTTCAATCCCTTTGGAAATTTCATCAATTTATTAGATAATAAGTTCAAGAATACTTGAAGTATACACCAAAATAATTCGGAATAAGGTCTTGTTTATCCTAATTTGCTTTTCCTTTCACACCATAAAGCTCAAAACTCATTGCAAAGGTGTCAAAATATTACTGAGTATGAGAGTTCCACTCATTACTAATAAGCACTTGGGAGAGACTGTTAGCATGCATAAGATAAAAATAGAGTGTAAGAAAAAAATATTTTTAAAAGGGTTTATCATGTCTTCCCCTAATAGATGTCTTCTCCAAAATTTCTTGATCTTTCTCATCTCCTCTTACTCTATGTGTTATCCTTTCTCAGAAATAATAGAAAAATCCCCAGTGGCCACTGACTTGTCACCTGGAGCAAGGAAAGTTATTGGACAATATGCTTTTCCTCTACTTATATCTTGATTTTCTACAAACTGCCCCACCTAAATAGTCATAATAATTTAAGTGTGAAACATACCTGTGGAAAGTTCTCTACCTAGATCATTGGTGGAGTTTCTCTATATTTTATCATTGAAATCAGGGAATTTTGGAATAAAACAGAAAAAGCCACTGATAATTGTCCAGGACAGCATAAACTTATTATTCTATACAAATGAGACTGAATTATTAAGAAGTAACTGCAGTCATTAAAATTTTATTCTATGGTTGAGGTTTTGAAAAGGAGAAATAAAAATAGGCATTATTTTGTTGYTATAATATTTATACTGGGTGCTTTCTATCTATTAACTCTTTGCAGTGCCTCTATTAGATAGTGTGACTCTCATTTTATAGACAAGAAAACCAAGGCTCTAGGAAGCAGATGCATTTACTCATGGATGCAATATATGGTATGTAGGGGAAAGTATTGATTTTAGAGCAGTTAGAAATTATTAAAAAAACTGACCAAAAGTAAATAAATTAATGAATGAGTGTGGGAGTGAATGAATGAATAAATAAACAAAATAATAAAAACAGATCAGAACATTTTACTTGTGAGATGAGGAGAGTCCTGTGCAAATGACCATCTGGTTTTGCAGAAATCTGCCAATTAAAAAATGTTCATAGCTAGTTTACATTTCCTGTACCTATTTTACTTTTACAACACCATAAAGATGATAGCAAGTCCCAGCAGGTAAGAAAAATCTCAAGACCATTACCGTGGGCAATTTCTCTAAATGGAAAAATGTATATACTTTTCCAGTCATATACTTACATAGTTGAAAAGAGTTCTTATACTTTTATCTGGCAATTTCTTGTCTAATAATATATATTATTTGAAGCCTTTGTACCCCTTGTATAGACCAGTTGTTGGATGCTGGCTGCCCTGGGGAGGAGTTGAGTCCTTTGGTTGGAGAATTTTCTCAGAMAAGGGCAATCCCCACCCAGAGACTCAGGTAGCTGTGTGATGTTAAGCCAGTTACTTTATCCTGTTTATTAATCTTTTGGATTAATACTTATCACCTTATGTACTGTGCATAGCTATTGTGAAAATCAATGAAATGACACTGTATCTCAAAAGTATCTCAAGATATAAACCTTAAATATCAGAGATGCTGTTGTCAGTCCTACAGCCCTGGGTGAATTATACCTTCATGTAGAGTCGTCAGGACTTGTGAGGAGCTTTCAAAGTGAGGTCATTCAGGGATACACTCTGTCTTTGGAAATGTTCATAATAGCCAGCTGTGTTGAGTGGATTTCTTCTCTCTGTGTTCCATTAGGTACTATCTTTAGAAGGGTAAATATGGTGGTTGGTGAGTATCCATCACATACTGAGTGTGGCAAACAGACTCTAAAGATGGGTCCAATTAGCCCTATCCCTTGCCATCCTTGCTCATCTGTGATTCTCTTTCCTTAAGTGTAGGCAGAAATTGTGATTTGCTACAGACCAATAGAATATAGATGGGCTGGGGTTGTGGCTCAGCAGTAGAGTASTCATCTAGCAGGTGTGAGGCCCTGGGTTGGATCCTCAGCACCACATAAAAATAAATAAAAATAAAGGTATTATGTTTAACTACTTAAAAAATATGGCAAAGATGATGGTTTGTCACTTCTATGATTTTGTTACATTAGATTGTATTGTGTTCTTTCTTGTTAGCTGACTCTTGTTAACTCACTTCCTTTCTGGGCTTGATGAAATTGGCAGTTATTGGAGAAAGCTGCACACGTCAAAGAACTGAGGCCAGCCGTTGGCCAATAGCCAGCAAGAAAATGATGCCTTCACATAGCCCACAGGCAACTGAAATCCAACAACAGGTGAGCCTAAAAGCACATCCTTCCCCAGTCACACCTGAGATGAGAACACAGCCCCAGCTGCCAAGCTGATTGTAAACTTGCAGAGGACCAAGTTAAGCCATGGATTTCTAACCATCAGAAACTTAGATTCTAGGTAATCATTGTCTTAAGCTGCTCAGTTTGTGATAATATGGTTATGCAGAAATAGATAATGAATATTCTGAGTAATAGTAAAAATGAAAATAATAATAATAATAGTCACCATCTACTTTCTAATGTATACATTCCTGAGTAATTTCTTAGAAATGGGATTTTTATAAATTAACTCAATTATTTATTCACTCCAAATAGATGAGATGAAGTAAATATACTTTCTTGAATGACATGATATATGTAAATTGCCTGCACACAGTGGGCCTTAATGGATTCTAGTTAATTTGTTTGCAAGTTTTTTTTTTTTGTATTGGTGAATATTAGTTATATAGAACAGTGGGTTTCATTGTGGTATATTCATACATATTATTATACGGAAGAGGCAAATGCAACTTAATTGAACAAACACACTCTTGATAGGCAAATRGCAGGGAAAGAATGTTTATTAATGGAACTGAGAGCAAAACTCTAGCAGAGGATGCTATAGCTCTTATTTCATTGTGATTAGATTCATCAACTTAGGTGGCCACTGATTAAATCAGTTTGCTTAGTGTAGCCAGGTCTTTACTAATGAAAGAGAGAAATGGTTTGGACATAAATTCCTTGAGGCTATTCAGATTTCTGAAAGGGCTCAGGGGATTCCATGTTCATGACTCTAATGTGCATGTTTCTTAGAKGGAAATTTTTAAAATTCATTTAGTAAGTATTTATTAAATTCCTATTATAAGCCTGGTATTTGCTGTGATACTATATTTTTAATTTTATCAGAATATACAATTCTTCACTATTGGCTTTTGTTTACCTGCTGTTTCATGATACTTTTTTAAAAAAGTTAGAATTRTTTAAGTATTTAATCTAGAATGGCATACTATTCAGCAATAAAGGATTAAACTCAAGATATATAAAACCACCTCTATGAATCCCAATGCCATTTTGCTGAATGAAAACAGATGAAAGAGAAAACACATTTATGATTCCATTCATATAAAATTCTACAAAATTTTATAATAGTAGTTATAACTACTGTCTATGCTGTTGTAATTTCTTTGGGGGATTTTTTTCCTCAGGGGCAAGAACATTTTCATGTCCTACTTAAGAAGTCTGTCTCTGAACAAGGTATGCATTTACATTTGAGATTTAATGGGTATGTGAACATCTGAGTAGACTGATAAAATAATTCATCACAGGCAAAGAGTGGGCTTTGCAAACATAAATTCTTTCATTTCAAATGTTTTGGAATGTATTTGCATTTCCTTTCCTTCACATTGAAGATGTATGAAATTTTACATAAATTTTTTTTTTGAAGAGACAAAAATAATCCACCTGTTGTGACTATTTGATTTGAGAAATGGAATGATCTGAATGTCTGAGAAATAATTCTTGTTCATTATTTATGCTATTCAGAATTATTTTTTTCTTTTCTGATTTCYGTTTCTTAATCCTTCCCTTTATGTTATAGGAAAATATCCCAAGATTTCTTCCAATTTATTTGGTTTTCTGCAATATCTAACCTGATCTTCATTGTTTCCAGTGACTTTTGATTAGACAGTTTGATTTCTCATCTTCAAGAACTCCCTACTGTATCAAAGTGCTGCCTTTTCATGACTGCTGGCTTTTATTTTGTGGATGTATTACTCTTAGAGATATAATCAGGTGACAAATTGAAGATGTTTGGGATTTTCTCCCTTTCTTTCTCTGCTTTTTGTAGTGATACCGATTCTACTTTCTCAGGTGGGTCCTCTTCTAGGTCTGATGTATTTATGTGTTTTAGTGTGTTTTGTGAACACAGTTTATGTCTTCATTCTACTCTTGGTGAACTTTTGCACTTTTTCTGGTTTGGGGATATTGCACTTATGGGGATATTCAAACATTTTTTTTTCTGTTTCATACAAACTAACTTGTTTTGGTTAAATAAAGGAGAGTTGAATGCAGGTCATGTATATGCATGTCTTCAATTTTACTGGATAATGCCCAGTGGTTACCCAAACTAGTCGTACCATTTTATTGTCACATACATTTTACATGCACAGTGGTGAATGTTTTTGATTGTAAGACTCAGCAGCAGAGGTAGTTAATACCCCTCCCATATACTCTGGCACTCACCATTTTCATGCATGACCAAATCAAGGGGCTCCTAACTGCAAGCACCTGTGACTCTTTGCCTGAGGGCTTTCTTTTRCCCTCAGCCCCTACTTAGCTCACAAGTGGAACACACTCGAAATGCTCAGAAATTAACCTTCTCTCCACCTGCCCCTGGAAGTTGCCCTCAACAAATTCCTAATTATAATGATGTATAATAACTCCATATCTTTCTTCCCACCAGTGAAATGACTCTGATGTGCATCTATCATCTCTTAGGACTTTTTCAGAGGATAAAGCTCTCTATTTGCTTGTAGTCATGACTTTCTCAATGATGACCATTTCCTGGCTTCCTTCTCTGTCCCCTACTTTCCTGCTTCTGTATTAGTATTTCATGACCTCCTCCTCTTCCAGGTGAATTATTTGATCCATCACTGAAACTTCTCCACATTTATGGATTTAGCCTCCATTCTGCCTTCCCACACAGCCTTATGACCTTCCTTTTATTATAACACTTCTCATACTACATGGTATTCCATGATGAATGTAAGCTCCATGTGGGCAGGGCCATGCCCACCTTTATGTTCTATCTCTAGTTAGTCTATCATGAGTTCCTGGTATGTAGCAGGCGTCTAGTATTTCCTAGAGGAATGACTGTTTATAATAGCATCAGGTGAGTAAAGAGAACCCATAATGGAAAAAAAAAAAAAAGCAGAGAAAGGTAAAGGTTAATATAAGAAGGTCAAAGTCGTGGAGGATCTTAGAGGTGGAAAGAGCATGTGCAAAGACCCAGAAATGGGAATGTGAYGGACTATTCTAGGGTAAGCCAATAGAACAGTGTACTCAGAGGAAAACACAGGAAGAGTGACAGGAGGCAAAGCAGAGTAGTTATAGATAAACATATTGTGATAAATGAATGAATAAATAAATGCATAATGAAGTATTTGAATGAATACCTGTGGGAAGCAGAAAGGTGCAATGAAAATATTATGACTTTAGTGAGACAGACATATCGTCTCATGACTCAGTTTCCTAATGTGTAAAATGAGAACATTAAAGCTTCATAGAGAGGAGTTGAGGATTGAAAGAGGGTATGTGTCAAGATCAAGTTAAAAAAAAAAATCCTCGATGAGAAATGATCAGGAGCAACAATCACAGCAGAGTTGGTAGTCATTCTGTTGGCAGAGGTAATATTAAAATACTCTGGTCATTTTGAGAGGAAAACATTACTTTTATAAACAATGGGAGGGTAAAGAGTAGCTACTAAGAGTAGCTGATTTTTGAGCTTAGTCATGAAAAATATGAAGAAATTATGAAAGCAAATCACCACCAAAAGAATGGCATTGCAGAAATTATACCCATAATAAATAAAGGGATTTCTTTTTTCCAACTGAATCACTTTGATTCCATAGCAAGTTTAGCAAGTGTCAAATATATTTCCTTAAATTAATTTAAATTGAAAAATCTATTACTTCCAACATAGTAATAGTGAATGTTCAGAGTTCAYAACAAATATAGAAATCTATAAAGTAAGTCACAGTAGACCCTATGACAACAATCAGGAAATATGAAAAATATGTTTGATAATGTTGGGTCCAAATATTTAAGGAAAATTGCTCAGGAAATTAGAAATCTCTCTTTCCCCCACCTTTTATCCTGTCTGCTTCCCATTCAATCTACTCCAACTATTAATGAGATTTTATAAGCTTCTTAATCAAACACCCTTGTTTTACAAGTGTGTCATTAATGTTATCACAGTGAATTCAGAGTTACCTGATGGTTTTTGGAGCTTACCTGCAGTTAGGGACTCTTTGCCTTCTGACATTGACAGAGAATGCTAAATTCAAACCATTTGAAATTTAAGTAGAACACAGAATAAAATATATATATTTCCTTAAATTTATTTAAGTTAGAGTGTGTGTGTGTGTGTGTGTGTATTCTTTAGGAGTCCATAATAAAACAACTCATGGCCTTTGGAATACATCATTATACTAGAAGTTTCAAAGATCTTACATCTATTACTACCTGTTGCTTACAAAATTCAAATTCACACATCAATGATAAAGAATTAGTTACACCAGTGATGGAAGATCTGAGGAATTGAACTTTGGATATTGTGGTAACCACAATATTAGCAACCACAGGACGCTATTACTACCCTGTTTGTTTGAGGAATAAAGAGAATAAAGATATTTTCAGAACTCAGGAACCAGGTTCACCAGTGGAAGCCAGAAGCATGGTGGAATTTCCTGATAGGAACTGAAATCATGGAGGAGATAGAGCCACTATTCAGAATGTCATCGAAGGGAGGAAGATTAAGTTAGGATAGGGCTAAATATCTTGGTCTGCCCATTACCATCCCCTCTATTCTTAACTTTGTGCGTGCCATTGGTTAAACCCCCMAAATACAAAAGAGTATTTTGGAAGCTTGGGAGACAGTCCACAGGGGTCAGACCACCATGATTCAGAGCAAAGATCAGTAAACAGACTTGTGGACAACCCCAGGAGCAGAACACAAAGGAAGATCAATAGTCAAAGTGCAAGGACCTTAGAGAGAGAGACCTACTTTCTAGAATGCTGTTACTAAAACGTTTCAGCCCCAAATTCTAAGTCCATGTGCCTCATCAGTTTGATATTGAAGGGAGAAATCTAATTTGCATCTACTCTCCATCCTGATATAATCAACCAAGGTAAAAAAAAATAGGGATCAGCTCATAAAAATATGGTGGGCTGGCATTTAACCACTTGGAGTTTCATTTCAGAGGAAGAGGTAGGCATGTCCTGAAGGGCCATAGGCATCCACTCTGCACTTTGCCTGTCTCTGCTGGATTTTAGTTAGCTGGAATAGTCTGTAGCTCTATTAATTAATTAATTAATTAATTAATTCTGGGTCTGTATTCTTAAGTGAGGTTGGTGTATTTGGGGCTTTAACCCAAATACATATCATTGTTCTGTTAGCAACGTGACATGAAGTGAATAGCTTTGAATATTTTTGAACAGTTGATGTAGGATAGGGATTATCTGTCTGTATAATTATATAACCGAACATACCAGTGAATTATCTCATTAGAACCATATTTTGAAAACAAGTCTTGAATAACCTCTCATATTTATTCTCATTGTTTCTCTTCCATTGCCAAAATATTTTACCTCCTCAAAAACTTTTATTATACAAATATTTTCAAGTTTTCCTCATGGCAGTGTGCATTCTCTCTTACATTTTCAATCTTCTCTCTCAGTTATTCTGTGCTCTCATTTCTCATTTTAGTGTATTTTCTTTTTTGTCCTCCATTGGAATCTTCAAGGTTTGATCTTTATTAAGAGAATCTACAATTAAAAAGAATCCATTTTACTATTTATTTCTGCTTTCTGGATCACTACAAAATTAATGCACTGAGCTTTTCCTTTTGCCTAGGAATTTATTTGACACTATTATTTATTTTTAAATCAGAAATTTGCCAGGATGTGCCAAATACCTCAGTTTCTTTTTACTACATATTGTGAACTTTTAAAAATTTGTTTAGTTGGCCCCCTGTATCACATACAGCCCAAACACACTTTGAATGCTTGTGATTTCTTAGGTTTCATTTTTTAATGAACTTTTCCATTGAGAGATACGTTTTATGCTACTGGTTGGATTGTTTTTCCTTAGTCACTTTTCATTTCTTTTTTTCTTGCCCTTGACATTGAAGTAATTTGTCCCAGTTTGTTCCATATTGACTGGTTGTCAGATGCATGGAATTGTTAGTGCCCAAAGTGGGAAAGTCCTGGGCAATCAGAGGTGATGTGGTTACTTTAACTGCTTGTCACCAATTCAGTTTTTCAGACCATCACGTTTATATTTTAATCATTCCATCTTTCCAGTATAGGCTTTATTCATCTCATTTAAAACAAAACCCCAAACCGTCATATTCCTTTATTCTTTCAGTTTTGTTTTTTTCTTGATACTCTCCTTTTTCATTCTGCCCTATAGTTTTTGGCTTCATTCTGTTTAATTTTTCTCTCTATCTTCTGTTTGCACT